CTGCCGCTTTTGGACATCGCCACTGTGTGGAGGTGCTCCAGGTGTCAGGTGGGTGAGGCCCAGGGATGCTGCTCAGCAGCAGCCTGCGGTGCACAGGATGATGCCACAGCAAAGACCTCAATTCCATCAGGATGGGGACTCCAAGGTGAAACTGGGTGTTGCCCAACTTTTGCTCTGGATAAGATGTCCGGGGTGCATGATGTGTGTTAAGGAGCTCAGAGGCTTCTGCTCCTCATGGGGAGAAAAGTGTGTTCACAGGCATTGGAGATAACAGCTGCTTAGAGGGAGGCAGGAGGCAGCCCCCTGCCTGTCTACCCTGCCAATGAGCTGCTTGACAGCAGAGAGAATCTATCTTGAGGAGGCCGGCCTGGGGTGGTGTTCACTGAGTTTCACCTGCCACTCTTCTCTGGGAATACTTGGAAACACAAGGTGAAGATGCCGTGGGAAGGTTGAGGAAGGGGAAGCATTCTCGTGTCTTTCCTCAGGGCATAGAAGGGGCTCTGCTTGCTGCAGTCCCAAGTTGCTCCCACCCAGAAGCTGCTCTCTTGTTACTTCACCCTTAGGGGTCATTGGGCAAAGTCTGGAAGTCTTCCTAGTTGTGACAACTGGGAGGGGGTGGGAGCTCCTGGCATCTGGTGGGTGGAGCCCAGGGACGCTGCTCCACATCCTACAGTGCACAGGATGGGTCCACCACAGAGACAGAGCTATAGTCTATTTATCTATCACCTCCATCAATCTATCATCTGTCTATCATCTCCATCTATGTCTCATGTATGTATCTATCTCTATCAACCTATCATGTTTATCTGTTATCTATCTTCCTATCAGCGATCTACTTATTTTATCTATCTCCATCTCGTACTACTATTATCTATATATCTGTCATCTATTTATCTATCACCTATCTATCTCTCCATCCTATCTATCATCTATCTCTATCCCCATCTATGTATCTATCAACTATGTACCTATCAATCACCTATTTATCACCTATCCATCTCTCCATCCTATCTATCATCTATCTCTATCTCCATCTATGTATCTTCTATATATCTATCAATCACCTATTTATCACCTATCTACCTCTCCATCCTATCTATCATCTATCTCTATCTCCATCTATGTATCTATCAATTATCTATATATCAATCACCTATTTATCACCTATCTCTCTTTTCATTCTATCTATCATCTATCTGTCCAGCCTATCTATCTCATCTGTCTATCATCTATCTGTGTATCATCTATCATGCATCTACTGACCTATTTCTCTATCCATCATCTATCCATTTACTTATCATCTATCTAAACAGTGGCTCACAGCATAAGAATAATTCTGCCCTTGCCCCCACCAGGGAACACTTTGCCGTGTTTGAGGTCAGTTTTAACTGTCACTACTGGGAAAGTGTGCTGATGCATCTGGCAAATGGAGCCCAGGGAGGCTGCTCAACATCCTAGAGAGTCCAGCCCCGATGCCACAAATGCCTTGGTGAAAAACTCCAGTAGTAACTTCCATCTAACCGTGGGGAAGGGATGCACGTCATTCTCAACAGTTCAGCAGGCAGGAGCTGTCTGAGTCCTTTGTCAGCGCATCGCTTGTTAGAACACTGGTAAGACCCTTTCCCATAGGATGGTTCCCTTACCCAGCGCAAGAGCACAGCAGTCCACATGTTTTCACTCATAAGTGGGAGTGGAATAATATGTCCACATGGACACAGAGAGTGGACTAATAGACCTTGGAGATTCAGAAGGGTGAGAGACTGGGAGGATGGTGGGGAATGAGCAGTGACTTAATAGGTTCCATGTACACTATTCAGGGGATGGTGATGCTGAAAGCCCAGACTTCACCACAACTCAGTATATCCATGTAACAAAATTGCACTTGTACCCCATAAATTTATACAAATAAAATAAAGTATATCAATCAATAAAATTTGACATATAAACCTGTTTAATACAAATGCAGAAAAAAATCATGTTGTTTTTTTCCTTTGCATAACATGTAAAAAATCAATGAATGTGCCTTCCTATGTCCTGCAGATATCTTACAAAGCCCCAGTAGTCATGAGTTAAATTCTTGCACGTAGCCTGTGGGAGGTCAGAGATAGCCTCCACTGTTTATTAACAGCTCTCGGCCCATCTATGAAGTGGAGGTAAAAACACCACCAATACCTGTCCCCAAGGCTGAGCTGATGCAGGGGCAGCCCTCAGCACAGTGCCTGGTACCCACAGACCATGGATCATCCTAGGTATTAATCTAAATCGGGAAGGCCTGGCTGTAGCTTGCATTGATCGCCATTGACAGTTTGGGGAAGAATCTGGTTTCCTTTGCTGTCTCTTTCTGATGGTCACACGAAGGCTCTTCTTCTCCAAGTAAGTTCACTCATTCAACTCATGCACTCATACAGACATACATTCACACATTCATTCACTCATTCAACTCATACAGGCATGCATTCACACCTTCATTCACTCATTCAACTCATACAGGCATGCACTCACACATTCATTCACTCATTCAACCCATACAGGCATGCATTGACACATTCATTCACTCCTTCAACTCATACAGGCATGCACTCACACATTCATTCACTCATTTAACTCATACAGGCATGCATTCACACATTCATTTACTCATTCAACCCATACAGGCATGCACTCACGCATTCATTCACTCATTCAACTAATACAGACATGCACTCACACATTCATTCACTCATTCAACCCATACAGGCATGCATTGACACATTCATTCACTCCTTCAACTCATACAGGCATGCATTCACACATTCATTCACTCATTTAACTCATACAGGCATGCACTCACACATTCATTCACTCATTCAACCCATACAGGCATGCACTCACGCATTCATTCACTCATTCAACTCATACAGGCATGCATTCACACCTTCATTCACTCATTCAACTCATACAGGCATGCACTCACACATTCATTCACTCATTCAACCCATACAGGCATGCACTCACGCATTCATTCACTCATTCAACTCATACAGGCATGCACTCATGCATTCATTCACTCGTTCAACTCATACAGGCATGCATTCACACATTCATTCACTCACTGAATTCATGCACTCATACATGCATGCATTCCCACATTCGTTCACTCATTCAACTCATGCAGGCATGCATTCACGCATTCATTCACTCATTCAACCCATACAGGCATGCATTCACACATTCATTCACTCATTCAACCCATACGGGCCTGCATTCACACATTCACGTATTCATTCACTTAATTCACTGATGCTCGGATGCATGCATTCACACTTTTACTTATTCATTCATTCGTCCACCATTAACTTGTCCATGCATTCAATTTATTTATTCACTGATGCATAATACATTAATTCATGACATGTATGCAATCTTCACTCATTCAGTCATGTGTGTATGCATTAACACACATGCTAGTTGGTTGAGCTCACTCAGGTACTCATACATATTCATTCACTCACTCATTCATCCACGTATTCACTTGTCATGTATCCTGTTCATCATGCACTCACACACATTCATTGTTTTATAAATGCATGCCTTCACGTGCTCATTCAATCCTGCATGCATGAATGCATTCACTCACTCACGCAGGCACGCATGAATTCCCTTGTTCACTCGCTCATACATGCACTTGTACATGCGTGAATTTACTGAAGTCACCCATGCACTTAGTCACGCATTAATTCACTCACTTATACACTTGGCTCATGCAGGCGTGAATTCATTTGTTCACTCACTCATCCATTCACTCATGCCCTCGCTCTTGTGTGCATGAACTCACCTTTCACTCGTTCCAGCACTCATACAGGATGAATTCCCTTGTTCACTCACTCATGCAGTCACTCATGCGTCATAAATTCATTCAGTCATTCATGCACTGTCAGTTACGCATGAAATCACTTGTTCAATCACTCGTGCATTCAACTCATTCATTCACTCATTCATAGATTCGTGCCTTCATTCATGCATGTATGCATGCTCACTCCTCCATTCATGCATATATGTTTGAATTCATTCTTACGTGCATTGGCTCATTCATGCCGTCAACTCCCGCATTCACCTGTGAATGCATTCATTCCCTCCCTGGCGCAGACACTGATGGTTCATCCATTTCCTCGCTCGCTCATTCACGTGTAGTTGTCCATTCACGCCTCACATGCATTCACACACACGCGTCCTCCACTCATCCATGGAAAGACACCGCGTGCAGACAGCCAGTCACTCGCTCGCTATGCATGCAACAGCCGAGGCCTGAACACTCAGTTATTCTTTCATGCACTCATTCATTCATTCAGGCGTGCAAGTATGCACACGTGCGTTTTTCATGCATTCAGTGAGATCGGGTACGAGCCCTGCCTTCTCCCTCCCGGACGCTACCAGAGGAGCGGCCTCCACCCGGGCTGCGCGCTGGCCTTGGGCCCAGGGCCTTAAGCCATCGCAAACATTTACTTCGGGGCCGCAAACCGGGAAACCGCGGGCTGCATTGGGGGCCGCGGCGGGCGAGGGGCGGGGCGCGGCACGGGGCGCAGCCCCCGGCCGTTCCCGGGTGTCTCTCCCCGGCAGCCCGGGCTGGGCACCAGGCGGCGCGCGGGCTTGTTTGCGGGCGGGGGCTGCAGCCGGGCGGAGACGACCCGCGCCCGCGGGGGTGGGCGGAGGTGGGGCCGGGCTTCCGGACAGAAGCCAATCGATGCCCTCGGAGCCTGTAGCGCCGGCCCAGGGCAGAGGCTGCGGGAGCGCGGAAGAGGTGCCGTGGGCTGCCGGGGGGTGCAGGGGGCCGTGGGTAGCGGAGGAAGCCTGGGTGCAGGGGACGGCCGGGGTGCGCAGAGGCTGCCTCAACACCTAGAGGTCTGGGGTGGGGGGGGTTGGCGTACAGCGGGGTGGCGAGGCCGAGGCTGGGTGCTGGGGGAAGGGCGACGGCTTGGAGTGTAGAGGAGGGGTGAGGGGCGTAGGGCGCTGGAAGAGGTCTCTCAAGCGCGAAGGAGGGGAGGGTTTTGGAGCTCTTGGGGGTGGGTCCGCCGAATGGGGGCGCCGAGTGCTGGGGAGTACAGGTCCAGGCGCTGCGGGTCGCGGGGACACCGGGGCTGCCCCAGGACTGAGGACAGACGGAGGCGGGGGCGCAGGCTGGGAGGCTGGGGCTTGGGAGCGCGGTCAAAGGCAGAGGCTGTGGTTGCGCGGGGGAAGGGAGACGTGCAGGGCGTGGAACGGATTCGGGGGCTCTCGGGGAGGAGGGCGAGGGGCGCAGGGGTGGGCCGGGGGGGCCTGGAGTGACGGGGGAAGGGGCGTCTGGCCGGTGGGCGCGGGCAGAAGCAGCGCAACCAAGCTCGGAGGAGGTGCAGATCCCGGGGTCCGGGAGCTCAGGGGTGGGCCAGGGAGTGGACGGGGCGGGGTAACCGGGGAGCGCCAGCTGGGGTGGGGAAAGAAGATGCCCAGAACTCCAAGCAGGTGCGCGGGGCGGGCTGCTCATACCGCAGAGGTCGCTCGGGGTTCCGGGGGCGATGTCGTTGCTGGGCACTTGAGTAATTAAACGCAGCGGGGTCGCAGGTGACAGCGGGGAGGACAGGGGATCAAGGGGACCCTGGCCAGAGGGCAGGAGGCTGACCTTGAGCGCCACGGAGGCAGTGCGGGGAGGGCCGGGGTCCCGTGGGGCGCAGTGACACCGGGTGCGTAGCTGGCCGGGGGTGACGCTGGCGGCGCCTGAGGCTCAGGGTGTCGAGACCGCCACGCGGTCGCCCGCAGGCCTGGAAGTCCACGCCGGTTCCTGGAGACGGCGCCTCTGCTCTGAGGGTTCCGTGGTGGGGAAGTCTACCCACTGCACCCCGGCGCCCACTGCACGCGGCCCGGAGGACCATGTCGGGTGAGTAGCTCAAGCTCCTTCAGTTCGGCCTGCCTGTTCCTGCCGGCTTGGGTGAGATTGGTCTGCGCTGCGGAGAAACCCAGTTTGACCCAGGACTCCGAGTCTCCCCTCATTGACTCACCCAGGTCTCTGTGGGTCTGGAGGGACTGGTCCATCCGACGCTGCTGGAAATACCGGTGGGCTTCAGCTGCTGGGAGGGGGTGATTGGTAGCAAGTGAGGGTGGCGTTGGGATTTCACCAGTTCCACTTGTAAGATGTAGTCCTGGAAGTTTCACTGGGCTCGTTTCTTGGGAATAGCATTGAACTGTCTGAGATTCTCACTGCGTGGAAGGCCGATGGTAAGAAGTCTGTTCTCCTAAAATGGCCCTAAAACTCTGGGAAGAGGCGGTCTTCCGGTTCTTGGAGTTCAGGCCATCGGTTTAATTTCCGTGCCCAGCACAGACGCAGGGATGGCCTGGCTTGGTGGCTCGGGCCTGTAACCCCAGCACTGTGGGAAGCTGAGGCAGCAGGATCGCTTGAGGCCAGGAGTTTGAGACCGTCCTGGACAACATAGGCAGACCACATCTCTAGGAAAAATAAAAATAAAAATTAGCTGGAGTTGTGGCATGTGCCTGTGGTCCCAGCTACTAGGGAAGGTGAGGTGGGAAGGTCCTGAGCCCAGGAGGTCAAGGAGGCACCACTGCACTCCAGCCTGGGTGACAGAGTGAGATCCTGTCTCCAAAACCACCAAGAAACAAAATAGGAACCCAGGTCAATCCTCCTGCAGGCAGCAGGCAGCAGGCAGGAAAGGCCGGAAAGGCCTGCCCCTTGAGGACTGGCGAGCCCCATCTCTCTGCACTTGGTTCTGTGGACATCAGATAGACCGGTTGACTTCAGATGCCTAGATATGAGAAGGTAGATTGTACGTCATCCCATAATAAAGATGCTGGTTCTATTTTTTTATCGTTAAATCATTAAGGCACCTCCTTGTACCAGACCAGACTGGATCATTCCTGAGTGCATTTTATGTATTTCTTTTCAAAAAAAATTTTTTTTAACTTTGTAGAAACAGGGTCTTACTATGCTGCCCAGCTTGTAGGCTCAAGCAGTCCTCCCATTGGCCTCTCAAAGTGCTGGGATTATAGGCAGGAGCCACCGCACCTGGCACACACAGAACAGATTACTCTTTTATTCAGAGGAGAGATTCAGTAAATCCCAGAGCTGCTTCCATCCTGTTTTCTCCCACTCTGGACTTAGAGACGAAAATCATCAGGGGAGGGACCTTAAGAGTTGTTTTCATGAGGTGTACTGGCAAACTCTGTCCCAAGGAATGGCAAAAAGGGTCTCTGTTGTAGGGCTGCGTTCGGAGCTCTCTAAAGTGAAAGCCACACGGTTCCCCAAGGCTGCTAGGGTATGTATAATAGCAGCATTCAAGATGGACATTCGGATACATCTTGCTCAGCCTCCTGCCTGAAGAGAAGATTCAGCTGTGCAGAAAACAAAAGCCACCTTTGAGTAGAGAAGGGCTGAGAAGGAAGCTGCTAAGGTGATTTTGATGGGTGATTAGAAGATGCCTTGAGTGCAGAGGGCAGGCGAGGGGTATCATGGATTCATAAATTCTTAGCCCCTGCCATCTCCAGGCTGGACTTAATTTTGTGACAATAACTCCTTTTTGTGGGCTGGAGTGCAGTGACAGATTTTCTTGCTGTGTTTCTACTCCATGCTGCTGCTGAAAGTGCCCCCTTCAAGGCAGCCGCAGCCGCATTGGAGAACTGTGACTGTTCTCCAGCACCACACCAGGACTTGATCTCCAGTCGTTTCTCTGGGGCAAGGCGATGTGGAAGCTCAGCACCTGTCAATCACTGTTCCTGCCACCAAAGTTCCGGTTATGCAGATGAAGCCTCCAGGTAGAAAGCGTCAGAGAGTATAGTTTGTAAATCAGATTTTAAAAGGTGCCAGACTCTTAGTTAATTATCTTCTGAATCTGATAAAAGGACTGGAAAGTGAAGGAGATTCTCTACAGAATGCAGATTTTTTTCTCCCCACAAAAGACAGCTTTGCAGGACCATTCCAAAAATATGTAAAATACTTGGATTTCTCTCAGGACCTGCTATCTGTCCTGTTGGTTATGGCTACGAAGAGTCTGTTTCATCAGTCTGAAGGTCTCTGTTTTAATGTGAATGCTGGTCAGCCATGCCTGAATTCCAAAGGAAGGTAATGTGAATGCCTGAATTCCAAAGGAAGGAGAACCTAATGATGCATGTCCAACCCCCACTTCCAATTATCGTGTGAACTAGCTTTTCAGGTTTACTTCGGAATGCCTTTGGCTGAGGAGAGGGTCCATTCAGAGGGTTGAATTTTATTATTTTTATTAAGCTATTCAGATGGCATTCTTCTCCGTCTGGCCAAGATTTGCCAATCACAACATCAATGACCACCGAAGTTGAATTTTATTCCATAGCATTGCCAGGATGGCCTGACAGCCTGCTCCCCATCCATCCTGTCCCTTTATGGGACTCCCTCTAGCCAAAGTGAGAGAGTGGGAAGGAAGAAACGAGTCAGGCAGGCAGTGAGCGTGGACGCAGTTGAATCCCTTCAAATGAAAGAACAATCTGCAGGCACAGGTAAGGGAACTTGCACAGGGTGGTTGCCCAAGACATGCCCACAGCTACACAGATAAGAAAGGCCACACAGGTGGCTTGCCCAGACATGCCCGCAATGGAAAACTCTGTGCCTTGACACACACGCAGTAAGCAGAATAAAACAATATGGAGTAACTTAAGCTAAGGTGAGAAGTTCAAGACCGGCCTGACCAACACGGCAAAATCACATATCTATTAAAATATATTTAAAAAAAAAATTCGCTGGATGTGGTGGCAGCTCCCTGGAGGCTGAGGCGGGAGGATCACTTTAACCTGGGAGGTAGATGTTGCAGTGAGCCGAAATTGCACTACTCCACTTCAGCCTGGGCAACAGAGCAAGACTCTATCTCAAAGGAAAAGAAAAGAAAAGAAATATATGAAAGCAAATCAAAATACTTTGTCCCCAAATATATTTCTTTCATATATTGGTGAAATGCTATCTTTACACTTCTCGAAAGAAGACATTCATGTGGCCAAGGAACGTATGAATAAAAGCTCAACACTGCTGATCATTAGAGAAATGCAAACCAAAGCCACCGTGAGACACCATCTCAGATTATTAAAAAGTCAAAAAAAACAACAACAGATGCTGCTGAGGTTGTAGAGAAAAAGGAACAATTTTCCTTGTCGGCGGGAGTGTAAATTGGTTCATCCATCCTGGAAGACAGCATGATGATTACTCAGCGACCTCAAGGCAGAATTACTGTTTGACCCAGCAATCCCATTACAGGGCATATACCTGAAGGAAAAATCATTCTGTTATAAAGATACATGTACGTGTATGCTCTTTGCTGCACGATTCCCAAGAGCAAGACATAGAATCAACCCAAATGCCCATCAACAAGAGACTGGATAAAGACAATGGGGTACATAGACACCATGGAATACTATACAGCCATAAAAAGGATGCGTTCCTGTCCTTTGCAGGAAGATGATGGAATCGGAACCTGTTATCCTCAGGAAACCAATGCAGGAACAAAAATCAACCACCCCATGTTCTCACTTATAAGTGGTAACTGAAGGAGAATAACACATGGACACAGGGAGGGGAACAATATTCACTGGGGTCTGTCAGAAGGTTGAGGGAAGGGGGAGGGAGAGCCTCAGGAAGGAAACAGCTAATGGATGCTGGCTTAATGTGTAGGCCACGGGTTGATCTGTGCAGCAAACACCATGGCACATGTTTACCTATGGAGCAAACCTGCACATTCTGCATGTGTGCCCTTGAACTTAAAACAAAATGTAAAGAAAAACAAAGAAGAAAAATAAACTCCATCTTTGTGGGGGAATCTTGCATCAGCAGCTCTGTGGAGTCTGTGGCAATGCAGCCAGCCCTTCTCTTGCACGGCTCTAGAGAGACGAAGTGAATGTTTGACACCTTAAAACTTCTAAAAGGAAACAGGAACCATCTCTTCTCTCTGAGGATGTTACATCTATGTAGCAAGCCCAGGTTTGCCAGGCCAGCCTTTTCCTTTCTCCCTCCCATGACCTGTCTTGCAGCTAAAACCTGTCTTTGGCAGTGCTCTGAGTCAGCATTCTTGTTCATGCTTTTATTTTGTTTTGTTTTGAGGTTTTGTTTTGTTTTGAGGTCTGAGTCGCCCAGGCTGGAGTGCACTGGTGCAATTACATCTCTGTAGTCCCCACCTCCCAGGTTCAAGCAGTCAGCATGCCTGGCTAATTAAGAAAACATTTTGGGGGGACCAGGCACAGTAGCTCATGTCTATAATCCAAGCACTTTGGGAGGCTGAGGCAGGCGGATCACCTGAGGTCAGGAGTTTGAGACTAGCCTGGTTAACTGCTGAAACCCTGTCTCTACTAAAAATACAAAAATTAGCCAGACATAGTGCTGCACGCCTGTAATCCAGCTACTCAGAAGGCTGAGGCAGGAGAATTGCTTGAATGCAGGAGGTGGAGTTTGCAGTGAGGCCAAGATCGTGCCACTGCACTCCAGCCTGGGTGGCAAAGCTAGACTCCATCTAAAAAAAAAATAAAATTTTTTTTTTTTTTTTTTTGGTAAAGATGAGGCCTTGGTTAGTTTCCCAGGCAGGTCTTGAACTCCTGGCCCCAAAGCAATTCTCTGGCCTTGACCTCCCAAAGACATTACAGGCGTGAGCCACTTTACCTGGCCTTGGAAAAGGAGAGAAGGTCTGAAAAGCTTTTCTACTCATTGTGCAATGGCCTGTGCAGGTGGCACATTCAAGAAGTCATGAGGTTATCAAGTGGAATTCATGTCTCTTGCAGGAAGGGGTTAGCTACTGTGGGATTGTGGCCTCCTTATTTCTCTTGGGCATATACCTTCTCTTGTCTTGCACTTTATCTCCATGATATGAACTACACTGAGGCCCTCACCAGATCAGCTGGGCATCTTGGGCTTCCCAGCCACCACATATTTAGAGACAGAGTCTGGTGATGTTGGCTCACTGCAACCTCCTCCTCCTGGGTTCAAGCAAATCTCTGCCTCAGCCTCCTGAGTAGCTGAAATTACAAGTGCTTGCCACCACGCCAAGCTAATTTTTTTGTGTGTGTTTTAGTAGAGTTCAGGTTTCACCATCTTGGCCAGGCTGGTCTTGAACTCATGACCTTGTGATCCACCCACCTCGGTCTCCCGACATGCTGGGATTACAAGCCTAAGCCACCACATCCAGCCATCAACCTCTATTTTTAATGTGACTCAGTGTGTTCTATTCTGTGATAGCCACGCAAAACAGACTAAAACACACCCTTTCTTCCCCTGGTGCTAAACTGCACTGTCCCCTTCTCACAAAGGCCTGATCTGATGCCCTCAGGGAGGGAGGGGTCTCCTCTTTGTTAAATATGGTTGTGATCAGTCCAGATGCTGTGACTTGTATCTGTAATCCCAGCACATTAGGAGGCCAAACCAGGTGGATCACTTACTTGAGGTCAGGATATCGAGACCAGCCTGGCCAACATGGTGAAACCTTGTCTCCACTAAAAGTACAGAAATTAGATGGGCATGGTGGTGCATGCATGTAATCCCAGCTACTCAGAAGGTGGAGGCAGGAGAGTAGTTTGAATCCGAGAGGTGGAGGTTGCAGTGAGCCTAGATCACACCACTGCAGGGCAGCCTGGCAACAGAGCAAGACTCTGTCAAAAAAAAAAAAAAAAAAAAGACAGAACTAATAGTAGAACTCCCATTTGATCCAGCAATCTCACTACTGAGTGTTTTCTCTTTTCTTCCTAAGTGTTTTTCCTTCTTGCCAGCAGGCCGCCACTGCAGACAGCATGTCTGTAGGGTTTGATCAGCTGCATTTGCTCCCAAGGCACCTGATGAAAGGGGTTTTCCCTCGTCTTTCTGCTAATGCATTTCTTCATCCTTCACGCATTCCTTCCCTCCTTTGCACCTACTGTGTTCTTGTGGTCAGGGAACAAGGGAGTTCTGGTGGCTGAAGCATTCCAGTTCCTGGAGAAGAGAGGCATCGAAACAGGCAGACAGCATGAAAGGCACCGCCATGCTTGCATCAGGAGAGACGGTTTGCAGGAGTGCTGGTTTCTATGGCGTCCCTCAGATTTCTTTCATTGAAGCCTCCTTGTTCGGCCTTCCCAATTGAAAAGTGCCTCAAATGTAGCTGGGGTTTGAAAAGCTTGAAACCAGAAGGCACCTCTGGCATCATGGTGAATCGTCAGGTCAGTGTGTGGGGCACATGTGGGCTGGGAAAGCCACGTCTTAGACACCCTCTAGCCCACATCTGCTCACAGTAATCTGTTTGCACATCTTAGGGTCTCCCTCACAACAGCTGTTGGGAACATAGGAGGAGAGGATGGTGGGTAAGGGTTCGGCAGGAGACACTTGCCAGCAGGTAGAGCTGGCATTCCAGCCTGGGACTGGTGCTTTCTCTCTCTCTGTCTCCCCTCTTTCACCTCTCTCTCACCTCTTTCCTTCTCTGTCTCTTCTCTCTCTCTCCCATCGCTCTCTTCTCCCTCTCTCTTTCTCTGTCTCTCTCTTACCCTCTCTCTTGCTCTTACTCTCTTATTCCCTCTCATACTCATGTTTTACTGTTTTCACCTGAGGGAAGAGTGATGTGAAACTAGGACTTCGCTTTTTCTGGGGTATTTAGGAATGTGGGGCCGTGGGGTTTTCTCCACCTGTTTTAGGTCATTGCTTCCTGATTTCTCAGAGCTTTGCTATTAACAGCTCATTTCCCTCCCTTAGGGGCCGACTTTGACTTTCCTGGTGGAGAAAACAGTGAATAACTTTTCAAAGTCTCCTGTGTTGCTGACCTGGTTATTGTTTTTGAATTATCATTTCTGAGACATCTCTGTGGCATGGTAAGTGGATTGAGTTTGGACAGTGGGAACATAGGATGTATAAGTATTCTTTATTTTTGTTCTTGTTTTGATTTTGATTTTTTTTGAGATGGACTTTCACTCTTGTTGCCCAGGCTGTAGTGCAGTGGTACCATCTCGGCTCACTGCAACCTCCACCTCCTGGGTTCAAGCGATTCTCCTGCCTCAGCCTCCCAAGTTGCTGGGATTACAGGCATGCACCCGCACGCCCAGCTAATTTTTGTATTTTTAATAGAGACGGGGTTTCTCGATATTGGTCAGGCTGGTCTTGAACTCCTGACTTTATGATCTGCCTGCCTCAAGCTCCCATGGGGGACATTGTAGTACTTCCTGGTCATACATATACTAGTAGCACTTCCTGGTTCACAGGGACATTGCAACACTTCCTGCTTCATTCGGATAATTGTAGGACTTTTTGAATTGCAGGGACATTGTCATATTTTCTGGTTCATATGGATAATTATAGAACTTCCTGGTTCATAAAGATATTTGCAACCCTCTGATTCATAGGGGTAATTGTAGCACTTCCTGTTTCATAGGGACATTGTAGTACTCCTGGTTCATACAGATAATTGTTGTACTTCCTGTTTCATAGGGACATTGTAAAACTTCTGGTTTATATGGATAATAGTAGCACTTTCTGGTTCCCAGGGACATTGCAACACTTCCGGTGCATATGGATAATTGTAGCATTTCCTGCTTTGCAGGGAGATGGCAATACTTTTGGTTCACAGGGAATATGGTATCACTTCCTGTTTCTTAAGGATACTGTAATACTTCCTGGTTCATAGGGAGATTGTAGTACTTCCTGGTTCACAGGGGCATTGCAACAATTCCTAGTTCATTCAGATAATTGTAGACTTCCTGGTTTGCAGGGATATTGTCACACTTTCTGGTTCATAAAGACATTTGCAACTTTCTGGTTCCTAGGGGTAATTGTAGCACTTTCTGTTTCCTAGGGACATTGTAATACTTCCTGGTTCATACGAATAATTGTAGCACCTCCTGGTTCATATGAACGTTGTACTACTTTCTGGTTCATACAGATAATGGTAGTACCTCCTGGTTCACAGGGACATTGCAACAATTCCTAGTTCATTTAGATCATTGTAGACTTCCTGGTTTGCAGGGATATTGTGACACTTTCTGGTTCATATCGATAATTGTAGAACTTTCTGGTTCATAAAGACATTTGCAACCCTCTGGTTCCTAGGGGTAATTGTAGCCCTTCCCGTTTCATCGGGACATTGTAATACTTTCTGGTTCATACGGATACTTGTAGCACTTCCTGGTTCACCTGGATAATATTAGCACTTCCCAGTTCACAGGAACATTGCAACACTTCCAGTTCATACAGATAATTGTAGTGCTTCCTGCTTTGCAGGGACATTGCCATACTTTTTGGTGTTTCCTATGGACATTGTAATACTTCCTGGTTCATAGGGATAGTCATAGCACTTCTTGGTTCATATGGATAATAGTAGGACTTTCTGGTTCACAGGGACATTGCAACACTTCTGAGTTTATTGAGATAATTTTAGAACTTTTCGGTTTGTAGGGACATTGTAACACTCTATGGTTTATGTGGATAATTGTAGAACTCCCGGGTTCATAAAGACATTTACAGTCCTCTGATTCATAGGGTAACTGTAGCACTTTCTGTTTCATAGGGACATTGTAGTACTTCCTGGTTCATACAGATAATGATAGTACTTCCTTGTTCACAGGGACATTGCATTGATTCCTTGTTCATTCAGAGAATTGTAGAACTTTCTGGTTTGCAGGGCCATTGTCACTTTCTGGTTCACATGGATAATTGTAGAATTTCCTGGTTTATAAAGACATTTGCAACCCTGTGCCGATGAATGGATTTAACCAAATATGTTATATCCATACAGACAGAACAATATTTAAAGTACTGACACATGCTACAATGAGGGTGAAACTTACCAACCTACACTGGCCAGGGGCAGTGGCTCACGCCCATAATCCAGAACATTTGTTGGCCAAGGCAGATGAATCACTTGAGGCCTGGAGTTCAGAACCAGCCGCGGGCCAACATGGTGGAACCCCATCTCTACTAAAAGGAAAATGCAAAAACTAACCAGGTGCACTGGTGCACACCTGTACTCCCAGCTACTTGGGAGGCTGGGGCTTGAGAATTGCTTTAGTCTAGGAGATGGGGATTGTAGTGTGCAGTGAGCCAAAATCATGTCACTGGCCCTCTCAAAAAAAAATTGGGGAGGCTGAGGCAAGCAGATGACAAGGTCAAGAGATCAAGACCATCCTGGCTAACATGGTGAAACTCCGCTCTACTAAAAATGCAAAAAGTAGTTGGGTTTGGTGGCACATGCCTGTAATTCCAGCTACTTGGGAGGCTGAAGCAGAAGTATTGCTTTAATCCAGAAGTCAGAGGTTGCAGTGAGCTGAGGTCCTGCCATTGCACTCCAGCCTGGGCAACAAGAGCACAACTACATCTCAAAAAAAGGAACACATTAAGACTAATGATGGCTGATGAGCTTTTTAAAAGATTACAATTTTACCCTTCATATTTTGGTGTCATTCCTTGGTCTCCAAAGTCATATTTTGGGTGGTATATCTCATTATGATATACAACATTTTTTAAAGTATTGCCCATTTTCCCAAGGTGGCAGATTCCTGTGGATTCCATCATAAATCAAGGACATGGATGGAGACCATATTCTATTCCCTCTAGTTACGAATAAGCCTGGAAAAGACTCAGGAAGGACCACGTTCCACAGGACTCCCATAGTTCTGAAACATTCTGCTTTTCTTCACAGAGGTGTGTCATGGGACATGCTTGCTTATAACAACCGCTTTCAGTTTAGCAAACCAGGCTAAGCATCTAACTGCCAGGGGTGTTCACTATGTCTCCAGAATAATGTATGCATGCACATTGTTTCTTCATAGAAGGGATGTAAATATGTATGTATGCTGGGATGTGGGGGACAGGCCAGGCACATTGGCCCACCCCTGTAATCCCAGCTCTTTGCCTGTCCGAGGCAGGTGGATCACAAGTCAGGAGATCGAGATCATTCTGGCCAACACAGTGAATTCCATCTCCACTAAAAATACAACAAATTAGCTGGGTGTAGTGGCTTATACCTGTAGTCCCAGCTACTTGGGAGACTGAGGTAGGAGAATCACTTGAACCTGGGAGGCGGAGGTTGCAGTGAGCCGAGATGGTGCCACTGTACTCACAGCCTGGGTGACAAAAAAAAATTGCAATATTGGTTTTGTAAGTCATATTTCCTAAGTCAAAATATGACTAAGGAAATCAATACTGAGACTCCAGCCCATCTCAAAAATGAAAACATTACCTGTCAATTACATTCTCAACACACTTAACACTTTTAAGAGGCCTGCAAAAACCCAGCAGACTTTCGATGTCCCCCACATCTTTTTTTTTTAGATGGAGTCTAACTCCAGTCACCTAAATACTCTAGTCACCCGGGCTAGAGTATCTCAGCTCAGTGCAACCTCCATCTCCCCAATTCAAGTGATTCTCCTACCTCAGCCTCCCAAGGTAGTTTAATTACAGGTGCCCGCCACCACGCCTGGCTAATTTTGTATTTTTAGTCAAGACGGGGTTTCACCATATTGGCCAGGCTGCTCTCGAACTCCTGCCCCTGTGATATGCCCTCCTTGGCCTCCCAAAGTGCTGGGGTTACAGGCATGAGCCCGGGGAACAAGAGCAAAACTTCTGCAAAAAAAAAAAAAAAAAAAAAAAAAAAAAAAAAAAAAGGGAGGGAATGTGTTTCTCATATGTTTCTGTGGCCAAGAACCTATGCATGAATGTAACAATGAGAGAAATGTAACATGGCTCACTCCATCTTGCTTCTCCCCTCACAAGCTAACCGCCTTTGCTCATTGCTACAAATAGGTCAAGCTAACCATGAATTCAGTCTACAGCCTAGCTTTAAAGCATGAATGATCATAGTCACTTCCCAAAAAGATTGCCTGAGGGGATCAGGAGGGTGTGCAGAGATGTAGCACACAGATGTCTCTGGTGATGAAAGACGCTGGTGTGGAGAGGAGTCCCCTCCCAGAAGAATCTTTATGTTTGCTGCCTGCAGGAAGAGACAGGTTGGCCAGCCCTTTCTGAAACGACAATTTCTGCAGTGTTTTTGACTCAAATATGCAGGATACCAATCCGGCATATTTTGAGAAGGCACGTCCTTCACTCCTTCAACAGCACAAATAGGTAATTATATCCTAGGGTATATGTGAGCTACCCTGGTGATGTCTACAAATCCCAATGTCTAGAAGACATGGGAACTCTCTGCAGACTTTAATGTAAAAGGAGAGGTGGGCAAGAGGGAGAGATACAGAGAGACAGAAAGAGAGAGAGAATAAGAAAAATGAGAGACAGTTAGAAAAGAGAGGGAAAACAGGAGGGAGAGAGGAGGAGAAGAGAGAAAGAGAAGGAGAAGAAAAAAGAAGAAAGGAGGAAGAGGAGGAGATGGGGAAGAAAAGGAGGAGAGAGATAAAAGAAAGAGTAAGAAAGATAGAAAGGAGAGAGAGAGAGAGAAGAGATAATGAGAAATGCAATGTGAAACAGAGCGAGAAGAGAGAGAGAAGAAAGTAAGGAGAGACAGGAAGACAGGTAGAGAAAAGAGAGTTGAAGGAAGCGGAGTAAAGGAAGAGGGGGTCAAAGTGTATGAGAGAGAGAAGGAAAGAGTGACAAAGAGAAAGAAAAGGAGAGAGAGAAAGAGAGCTCACACAAGCACCTGGGGTAGCTATACTTAAAAAGCCAACAGGCCCAGGACTAGAGGCAGAAAACAAATCCCTGTACTCTATTAGTTTCACATATTTTTCTCTTCCCTAAAACATCATGAATTTTTTCACCCCAACTCATAGGAATGTCAATGAAAAGAGTCAAACTCTATAAAATATTTGAAGAGATTTATTTTGAACAAATATTACAGGAAAGGGGTCCAGGAAACAGACCCCGCATAAGGATTCTTAGATTTGTCACAAGAAATAATTCAGGGCAAGTCTACAGAGTAAAGTGAAAGCAAGTTTGCAAGTTTATTAGGAAAGTAAAGGAACAAAAGAACAGCTACTCCATAGACAGAGCAGCCCCGAGGGCTGCTGGTTGACCATTTTTATGTTATTTCTTATTGAAATGCTAAACAAGGGGTTGATTATTTCAATCTCCTCTTTTTAGACCATATAATTACCTGATGTTGCCAAGGCATTTGCAAAGTGTCATGGCGCCGGTGGGAGTATAGCAGGGAGGACGATCAGACATCACTCTACTCACCATCTTGAGTATCTCAGTCCCATTCACCCCCAAGGCACCATAGAAACTAGAATTCCTCCTCCCCAAGAGGACCACCTTTTCCCCAAAGCCAGGCATAAAACCAAAAATATGACTCAAATTCCCTCCACCCGCCTTTCCTTGTAAAAACTGGCCATAAAGAAATGATCTGAGGGCCAGGCACAGTGGCTTACACCTGTAATTACTGCACTTTGGGAGTCTGGGGTAGGAGGATCCATTGAGTCCACTTCCTGTTTCTTCCATGTAAAAGACAAACTTTCTGTTCCTTTCCAGTGCAGAACACACTTCCTGTGTCTCCCCTGTGACGGACACACTTCCTGTCATTCTCCTAAGAGAGATACACTTCCTGTTCCTCCCCTGTGCAGAACACACTTTCTGTTTCTCTTCTGTAAAAAAAACTACATTTCTTCTTTTTTCCCTATGCAACACACATTTTCTGTTTCTTGTCAGTGCAGGACGCACTTCTTGTGACTCTCCTTGTGCAGGAGAAATTTCCTGGTTTATACTCTGTGTAAGACACACTTCCTGTTCCTTCCCTGTGCAAGATACACTTCCTATTCCTCCCCCGTGGGACATACGCTTTCTGATATTTCTCTGTGAGGACAGACTTCTTGTAACTCTCCTGAGATAGGCACACTTCCTGTTCTTCCCCTGTACAAGAAGTGTGTCTTACACTTCTTGTGTCTTTTTTGTAAAAAACGCACTTCCTGTTACTGTCCTGAGATTCCCGTCCTGTACAGAACACACTTCTGTCTCCCTGTGAAGGATACACTTTCTGTTCCTCCTCTGTGCAGAACTCATTTTTATTTCTCTTCTGTGAAGGACACACTTCCTGTTTCTTCTCTGTGCAGGACACACTTCATGTTACTCTCCTTAGAAACACTTCTTGTGTCTCTCCTGTGCAGGACACACTTCCTATTTCTCCCCTGTGAAGGGGATAAACACTTTCTGTTTATCCTTTGTGCAGGACACACTTCCTGAACCTCCCCTGTACAGGACACACATCCTATGTCTACCTATTGCAGGACACACTACTGGTGTCTTTCCTGTGCACAGCACACTTCCTGTTATTCTCCTGAGAGACATACTTTCTGTTCCTTCCTTGTGGAAGACACACTTCCTGTGTCTCCCCTTGTGGAACACACTATCTGTTCCTCCTTTGAGGAGCATACACTTTCTGTTCTTTCCCTGTGCAGTTCAGACTTCTTGTTATTGTTCTTGTTACTCTCCTGAGACAGACACACTTCCTGTTTCACCCCTGCAGGACACATTTCCTGTGTCTTACCTGTGAAGGACATATTTCCTGTTACTCTCCTGAGAGAGACACAATTCCCGTTTCTGCCTTGTGCAGGACACACTTCCTGTTAATCTTCTTAGACACACTTTCTTTGTCTTTCCTGTGCAGGACACACTTCATGTTTCTCCCCTATGAAAGACACCTCTGTTTATCCTCTGTGCAAGAAACACCTTCTCTTCCTCCTCTGTGCAGAACCCATGCTCTGTTTCTCCCCTGTGCATAACCCATTTTCTGTTTCTCCCTGATGCAACACACACTTTCTCTTCCTTCCTGTCCAGTACACACTTCTTGTTTCTCCCCTGTGCAGCTCACACTTGCTGTTTCTCCTCTGTGCAATACATATAGGACAATATGTCCTATATGTCTCTTTTGCAGGACACATCTTCTGCCCTGTCCAATACACACTTTCTGTTTCATGCTGGGCATGACACACTTCCTGTTACATTCCTGAGAGAGCCACACTTCATGCTCTTCCCCTGTGCAAGAAACGCTTCCAGTGTTTCCCCATGCATGACACACTTTCTGTTACTTTCCTGTACAGAACACACTTCCTGTATCTCCCCTGTGCATGACAAACTTTCTATTACTCTCCTCAGATAGACACTTTTCCTGCAGTTTTCCCGTGTAGGACACACTTCCTGTTTTTATTCTGTGAAAAACACACTTCCTGCTCTTCCTTTGTGAAAGACACACTTCCTTATCTCCCCTGTGCAGGACACTTTAGGTATCTCCCTTTTGCAGGACACACTTCCTGTTCTTATCCTGCCTGGCACACACTTTCTGTTTCTGTCCTGTGCAAGTCACACTTCTTGTTACTCTTCTGAGACAGACAAACTTCCTGTTCTTCCCCTGGGCATGACACACTTCCTGTGTCTCCACTCTGCATGACATACTTCCAGTTTCTTGCCTGTACAAGACACACTTACTTTCCTGTAAAGAACACAGTTCATGTTCCTTCTCTGCACAGCACACACTTTTTGTTCCTGTCCTGTGCAGGACACACTTCTCGTTACTCTCCTGAGACAAACACATTTCCTGTTCTTCCTCTGCATATGACACACTTCCCGTGTCTCCCATGTGCTGGAAATACTTCTTGTTACTCTCATGAGACAGACACACTTTCTGTTCTTCCCTGTGCATGACATACTTCCTGTTTCTTACCAGTGCAAGACACACTTCATGTTTCTCCCCTGTGAAGGAC